GCGAGGGAGCCTCTGATTGATTTTTGGGGGGGGGGGGGTGTTGAGCTTGCGCCATGGACAGTGGGCACCAAGGGGTGCGCGGCACCCAAGACAGCCAAGTCGCCAGGCCCGCGAGCTGGCAAGCAGCTTGACCGCCACCAATCCACGCAGACACAGAGGGGCTGCTTTCCCTGCAGGGTCCAAGGCTCAAACGGATGGACAGCACAAGAGGGCGAGGGACCAGGGGCAGCGCGCAGGGGGGCAGGGGAGGGATGAGCAATCGAGTGTCATCGAGCTCACGTAACCGACGGCGATGACGACGTCGGCTTCCTCCAGCAGGCGGTCACTCGTGGTGTTGCGGATCAGCCCCACCCTGCCGCCAAACAGGTCCCCCAGCGCACGCGGGACGACGCCGATGCCCTGCGCTCGAGGGGGTGCGTTGGGGCTGTTAGCAAAAAGGGGTTTGCACTTTGTTTGGTGGGGGCTGCTTGGTCGCGTGGATTGTCAAATCCATGGCTGAATCAAGAACCAAACCGAAAGTTTGGCTTGAAGTATGAATCAAAGCAAAGGTTCGAGCTTGTGGCATGCGCAGACGGGACGCCGCATGTACTGCTGACCAGCGGCCGAGCGGACTCTGGGCGCAACCGCGCGGCGCCGCCTGTGAGGGACGGGCGAAAAGGGTCCCACCTGGAATGTCGTCACCACCGGCATCGCGAACAGCAGCAGCAGCCTCTGCAGCTCCGCGGCCGCCGCCGGCGCGGACGCGAACATGCCGAGCAGCAGCACGGGCGACTTGGCGCCGTTGATCAGGCGGGCGGCGAGCTCGACGTTGGCGGGGTGGGCGCCGCCGGCGTGGTGGCTGCGGCCGAGGACGCGCATCTTGGCGGGGCCCACCATCACGTCCTGCGGTTTTAGGGTTCAAACGTTGGAGGGTTTGAGCGAGGGTTTGAGCAAGAGTGTGGTGGTTTGAGGGCTCAAGGGTTTGAAGTTTCGAGGTTTTAAGGTTCTGATGGTTTCAGGGCTTTAGGGTTTACATGGGGGTTGAGGTTTGTGTGCAGGTCTTGCTGGGAAGATTGAGGGTGTGTGGGGGTGCGGGATAAAGAGCTTGGGTCCAGAGGGCGCCCGCGCGAAGGACCCGGGCGGTCGAGTGTGGGTGTTGAAAGGTAGAAGAGGGGGCGATGAGGGGGTCTACGGTGACAGCTGCCTCGTAGTGGTGTGTATCGCGGGGATCTGGAGCCGAGGTGAGCAAGCTGCTGTGCACCGGATGCAGCCGTGCACTGCGTGCAGCTGTGCACCGGGTGCAGCACGTGGGCTCGTGACCAGAGTCGCACAGGTCGTATCAAGCACGAGTGCAGTATATCCAGCCGAGCCAGCCCAAGCCTTGGCCCCGCCCTTGGCCCTGCCCTTGGCCCCGCCCTTCGCCCTGCCCTCCGCCCCGCCCCCGGCTGCTCCCCCGCCGGCGGAGGAAGAGCGGCGCCAGCTCCCCCTCTTGCGGCGCACCTGTGGCAGCGACACAAAGGCGGCGCCCGGGCGCCCGACCGTCTCCGCGGCGCGGAACGCGTTCGCCACGACCTCCGATATGGTGTCGGCGCTGGGCACCTCGGCCGTGAACTTGGTGACCGGCTTGAGGATGGCGGCGTTGTCGAGCCCCTGATGAGTGATTGTGGAGGTGGAGGGGGCCGAGGCGGGGCCTGCAGCTGCTCGATCGAGGCGCCCTCGCGAGGATCTGCTACGCGTGGAAGTCGGGGAGTCGAAGATTGGCTTCCCGACAGAGTTCCTGCCGGGTGGTCAAAGTGCAGGGCAGGGAGGCCGAGTGCGCGAGCGGCGCCGGCAGGCGCCGTTGTGAACAAGGAAGGGGGGGGCCGCGAGGGTTGTGCCAACCTGGTGCGTCTTCTTGTAGCGCTGCGCTATGGGCGCATTGCCGCCCAGCATGACTACGGGGTCCCCCTCGCAGTTAGCCGTCGCTGCGGCGGTGACGAGGTTGGTCACACCGGGCCCGCTGGTGACCAGCACCACGCCTGCGCGGCCGGTGCGGCGGCCGTGGCCTGGCGGGCGGGGGCGCGGGGTGGGGTGGAGGGGGGCGGGTGCGAAGAGGGCGGCCGTGGCGGCGGTCAAGGGGGAGACGGAGGATGGACGGGCGGCTGAGCGGCTGGCGGGCGTGGTGTGGTGATTTGGGAACGGTGAAGCCGCAGCCAGCACCCCGGCACGAAGATACAGGCGGCTGATCTTCGCGTCTTGGGCGCGGCGACGCACACCGCCACTCCGAACGAGCCCTCCCGTGCCCGGGCCGCGGCGCCCTGCCGAGCTGCTGCGCCGGGTGCGAGCGCCCGCACGCCGGTGCGCGCGCGTGCGCGCCTGCGGCCATGAAGCCCGCGGTCATCTCATTCCTGCAGAGGACCAACTCGATGTCTGGAGTCTCCCTCAGCACCTCCACAATGCGGTCTCTGGAATACAGAGGGGCACGCGGAGGGGGAAGGAGGCGCGCGGCGCGCGCCCGCGTCGCACGTCGCGCGTTGCGGGCCGGAAGCGGGAGGAAGCTGCGCGCCGTCGCGGGGTCGGGCCGGCGGCGGGCGCCGCGGCTGGGTTGGAAGCGTGAGGAGGGGCCGCGGTGTTGGATGCGGGCCGGGTGTGCTCACATCTTGGCGCCGGGGATGCAGAATACGCGGCGGACGCCCTGGGCCAGGAGGTTTTGCACCAGCACGTGGGCGCCCGTGGTCCTCTTTTTGGGCTCGGCCATGGCAGCTGGCGCGGCGCCGGCGTTGTCTCGCAGGGGCTGCATGTACGAGAGGGTGCGGCGGTGAGGGTGCACGCGCCGGTGGCGCATGGGCGGGCGCGCGCAACGTTGGCCGTCGGGTGCAGCTGGTGGGCCCTGGCCATTAAACGCCTACATCGGTTGAGGTCGGCAGACGGCCGATCCCTTGCGTTGTGAGCCGGGCGGTATGCTATAAGCTCATCACAAAAGGATGCTTTGGCGGGTCACTTACTAGGAAGGCAGCTTCGGCCTGTGGAGGGGTTGTGATCTGCTGAAAACCAATTACGGTACGTCACTTGTGCCTTCGACAATCGTATTTGTTCATCGCAAGTCTTGTTATATATATGCAACAGCCATAAATCCTCTGTGTAGCGCGCCCGAGAGCATTCCTCACCCGGTGCGGCCTGTTCGTCACTTTTTTATTATCTCAAGCTTGTGCAGGGCGTCCACTCGACATATGCTGGATCTTTGCCTGATAGACAATGTATATAGCTATGCACTCACCCTGGTGACACCTTTCCGAAAGGCCGTCTACATCCATTTGACAACAGATCAACTACTCAGCCGAGAGGCGCAGTGAGGCGAACCAAAGTTTCATGGGCAACGTGTCTGGGAAGCCACGAGGCGAGGCGCGGCGGCGCCGCGTGTCGATCGATGCGCGCGTGCTCGAGCGAGTCGAATGCACAGCGGCAGCAGCGGGCCGCAGCGTGGAGGAGTTTCTCGACACGCTGCTGGGGTGAGCTTTCCCATGGCAACGACTTTGCTGCAGCAATTGATCATGTGTCCAACAACCTGCTTGGCCACTCCCTGGTGCACTCCCAGCCTGCCGCTGCGCTGGGGCGGCCGCATGTCCCTTTGGTATGCTCTTGTTGCCCGCCGACAATCCCCACAGCCTTATGGCCTACCATTTGGCACCACACCAACCCCACCCTGCCTGCCCCCCACACGTCGCAGCGCCCTGCCCGCGCCGGCATCCCCTTTTGCTGCCGCTTCGGCCGCCGGGCCCAGCGGCCCGACGTCCCACCCCCCACAAACGCAGCCACCAGCGCCCGATGCCGAGCGCGGCGCCTCGGCGCGCTCGGCCTCCCGGCAGCTGTCGTTGCGGCCGCCGTCTCGGGTGTCTGGCGCGCGGCTGGAACGGCAGGGCACCCTGCTGGCGCTGTACGTGACTGATCCCATCATAACCCTCGTGGCGGGGCTCCTCAAGGTGACGCTCCCCCCCTGCCGCGCGCGGGCCGCGAGCCCCACCCCGTCCACCCCAACACCTCCCCCCATCAGCCCCGTCGCCCACGCCCTGTTGCACTCCGCTTCCTGAGGGCCCAGCCGCCCCTCTCTTTCCCAACCGCGTCCGTCTCTCGTGCCAATCTATCCGCCCCCGAGCCACCAAGGACGCGACCGCAGGCGGCGCCCTGCCAATTCCGCCCGACCCAGAGCTCCAATTGATCGCGTTCTGCCGCATGCCGTGCAGGGCGACCACACCGTAGCGCAGGCCCTGACGCACGGCGACTTTGGGCTGGGGACCCTGGACCAGCTGGATGGGGAGGTGGGGAGGCTGTGCGTGCATGTGTGTGTGTGGGTGTGTGTATATATGTGTGCGTGTGAGTGTGTGTGTATATGTATGCGTGTGTGTGCCCGTGTGTGTGTGGTGTGTGCGTGTGTGTGTGTGTGCGTGTGTGTGTGTGTGTGCGTGTGTGTGTGTGTGTGCGTGTGCGTGTGCGCGTGTGCGTGTGTGCGTGCGTACATGCGTGCGCACACGCACGCCGCGGACAGGGCAGCCCTTCAGCAACGCCCCTTGGAATCGCGGTGTATGGCAGCCCAAGCGCGCCCAACGCGCTGGGCAGCGCGGCGAGGGACGAGCAGGCCAGCGTGGGTGCGGCCGTGCCCTTTGTTTCGGGGACGAGGGGAGGTGCGGGCGAAGACACCAAGCTCCCCCTCAATCCAACGCGGCGCCTCAAGCAGTGAGGGTTTCAGCCGCGCGCGGCGTCAGTGCAACCTCTCTCTCCTTTCCCCCTTCCCCTTCCCCCCCTGCGCGCAGGTGGTGGTGTTGGACGGGGTCGCGTACCACCAGAACGAGAGCGGGACGCGCGTCCTGTCTGGCAACGAGCCGTCGCCGTTCATGACAGTCACCTGGTTTGGTGGGTCACCGACGTTGACCTCTAGGGCCCCCGCCCGGCTGCGGGCCCTGTGCTTCTGGCCCCCTCGCGCCTTGCAAGCGTGCTGTCGGGTTGCTCGAAATTGAAGTCATGAACCACAATATCTGGCAGAGCAGCTATTACAGCAAGCATCAGCACGCGATCGCCTGGGCGGCTCTGGATCCCCACAGGTGCTTCTCTAGGCTGTTGTTGCTGTTTTGTCTCTCGCACCTCAATCACAATGCTCCGCTCTGTGTTGCACCTGTGAACTTATCAGACAAGACACGCGCTGCGACAACGCAGCTGCAGCCAGCGGCGGACTTTGCGGCACTGCAGACGCAGCTGCTCGCCACCTTCCGCACAGAGAACTGCGTCTATGCAATTCGCATCAGGGGTGAGCCGCGGTCGCCTGCGCGGGCCTGATTACTGCCTCGAAACGCCTGCTCCATCTCCTCAGGAGCTCATAGCACCTGCGCCTGCCCACCCGCTTTGCATGGTGCTCACCTCAACTGAAGAGCAAACAGAGGAACCGCGGGAGACCAAGCCGCTCGGGCCCCCTTGCCTCATGCTGACGCTTCCGCCGCGCAGGGAAGCTGCCGACCCTGAGGATGCGCGCCGTATGCAAGCAGCCCGAAGGCACGCGGCTGGCGGAGGCGGCGGCCAAGCAGCACGTTTTTGACTTGAAGGACGAAGAGGGTGACCTGGTGGGGACCCTTACCCCAGCGCGGGGCTGTGGCGCGCTCCCGGCACCGGCGCTCTTCTCAACGTCAGACGCCCAAATTGGCGGCGGGCGTGCGCTGCTCCCGCAGCCAACTGCAGCATGAGTGGCTCGGCCGACACCTGCGTCTTGCACACACGCACCATATCTGGCACTCAGCCCAGACCCTCACACCCCACCCTTTTCCTCCGTGGGCGGCACCCCCCTCATGGCGCACGCCCTCAGGTGGGCTTCTGGTGTCCCGCCTACAGCGGGCCAGGCATCCAGGTGCCGGGCTTCCACCTGCATTACATCTCCGCAGACCGCGCGCGTGGCGGCCACGTGCTGCAGCTGAGCCTGGAGCAAGCCGAGGCGCAGTCCATAGAGGTGCGGCAAGACATGCGCGCGTCTAGGAGCGTCCAAAGCAAGGCGAGAGAGGCCAAGGCAGGATAGTGGCGCAAAGCGGCTGGACCTTGGGCACGGCACGGCTGTCACAGCAGCGTCCAGCTCCAAGGGCGCGACCCTCCCTGCCGCCGCCCGCCTTGAAAATGCACACGTGTAGACGGCGAGTTGGCCATTTGCGTGGCCCTTGTCTCGAGCCACCAAATCCTGACACCTTCAACCCGCACGGCCTGCCCCCACTCCGCCCCCACCCCCCCCCCCACTTGCACACACAGATCCACCGCTGCATTGTGGACCTGCCCTCCAACGAGGCTTTCATGCGCCACGACCTCAATATGGACCACGCCAGGGCGGAGCTGCACGCGGCAGAGCAGGACCACTGACGTGGACTGCCGGCACGCGGGGCGCGGGCGTCACACGCGTTTTGAACCAAGGGGAGGTGGTCGACAAGGGCCGAGAGACTACACAAAGGGCCGTGATAGGATGGGTCAGCAGGATGTTTGCTTGGAGAGCCATCCAGTATCAGAAGATGACGCTGCGTGTCAAGCTGTCGTCTCGACAAAGCATTGACACATCGCCAGCCTTGGATGCAGTAGCTGCTGCGGCGCTGCAGATGGCATGCAGAGCGTTTGACTTGAGGCCGCAACTTTGAGACCAGCATCATGTGTTTGACCCTGCGTGGATTTGCTGTCATCCATTTTATTGTGTGTGCGTCACAACACATACATACACACCCAACTTCTTGAGCAGTGATGTTCAAAAGCTTGTCCACACTGGGCTATGTACTAGTTGCATGAATGTGTGTGTGTGCGTGTGCGTGGAGCTTTGTTGAATGCCCACAAGAAATGACGTGCCGCTACAGGCTGCTCCAACACCAACACACGGAGCGACAAGCCCTGTTACACACAAGCAGAAGCATTGGCACAGCATCAGGGGTGCGGTCACATGTATTGTACACATAAGGTCGTTTGTGGGTCAGGTCCTGGTCGTGCACGCTGGTATGGCGCTCGCCATCGCCTGCGCTGGATGAATTAAACAGGCCGCACATGCACAGCTGCCTGCAAGAGGATGGTGGCCCTCCTTCTGATGCCTCGCGCCGCCGCGGCCCCGCCACCCCTGGAGCGCGCTGCCACCAAGGGGTTAAGAGCCGCGCGTGTCAGATCGTGTACCAGCCGTCGTGGTTGGACCCCAAGTCATGTGTGCTGAAAGCGCGTGAGTCGGTGTGTCCGTGTGCGGAGCGTCCCAGGCGTTTCCAGTGCTACAGCTGCCGCGTCGGCAGCCCCTACTCAGCCGCGGCGGGGGCTGCCTTCTTGGCCTTGGGGGCAGCCTTCTTCTTGGGCGCCGCCTGCGATGCAGCAGGGGGCGTACGCAGGGAACCCGACTTGGAGCTTTCAAGTTCAGGAGCGCCGCAACAGGTGTTTGCTTCCCCTCCCAAGCATCCCAAGCAACATCTATGGCTGCACTTGCCAGCACACACACATAAACACACACCTTTGCCTTGGGCTTGGCTGCTGCCTTAGGCTTTGCCGCCGCCTTGGGCTTTGCTGCCGCCTTGGGCTTGGCCGCTGCCTTGGGCTTTGCCGCCGCCTTAGGCTTGGCCGCAGCCTTGGCCGCAGGGGCTGCCTTTGGCTCCGCAGCCGCCTCAGGCTCAGCGGCCTTCTTAGGCTTGGCCGCGGCCTTCTTGGTGGGGGTCTTCTTCACCTGGGCACGTTGCAGCCGCGCGAGGACAAGAACGCTGAAGTGGGCCGCGGCGGTGAGGGCAGCAGCGCTGCAGAGGCGATGTTCTCTTTGTTGGCACCACCAAACGGGAGCTCGGACCACATGCTGTTCCTGACCATGAGCAGGCCTAGCTTACAGCTATCAAGGACAGCTGGCACC